AAAAAAGCCTTACGACTCACAGTGGCAAGTACCGAAGTGGCATCTTGCTCACAATTCTTTTCGCGCCTTTCAACTACTTGTTCTCCATGGATTCGTCCTATTGATCTTAGCCGGTGTCCTGGGTGTGGGGAAAATAAAGTAAGGGCCGTCCCGCTACAGCGACAAGCTTTTGAAAAACCTCTGCGTGGGCATGGCAAATGTCCAACATCGCGGTGTACCGCATGTGGGGCTAGTTATGGTGCTGCCGACCTTGTAGAATCTGTCATTCAACGGGAGGCGAGAGCAGTCGATATACCTGTTAGCCAGCTCAGCGACGATTCTATCCGCCATCTGATAGCAATGCCGCCGTCACTTGACTTATTTACTACTCATGAAAACGAAGCAGCTCTCTTGGAATCAAAGGTTTTGATAAATTATCAGACACACAGCTGGAATCACGCGAAGTCGTGTTTTAAACCAAGTAAGCTTACACCTGATGGTAAAATATGCAGAATGTTCTTTCCTAAAGAAGTCACTGCGCAAACGGTTTGCTCTCCTCGTGGAGAACTGCACATACGGCGGTCCATTGGAAGTGAGTATTTAAACACCTACGTACCTGTGGTCAATTCGGTCCTGAAGATGAATCATGACATAAAATTTTTAAGTGCCGGTGAAGGTATGGCTTTCACATTGCCTCTTGGTATTCGCACGAGTGCGAATCTTTTCTTTCCCCTATTATTTAATGTTCTGTAAACAGGGATCGAGAAGGCATATTACATGATGAAATACACGACCAAAGCAAAGAAAGAAAGCAAAGCTGAGCGGTACCGCAAACGCTCGGAAGGCATAGTGATGATGGACGTGCCACTATAAGCTCGAGAGCCTCGCATCAGCCAAGACGAAGCCTTCGTATCCCCAATAATATCGACTTTCTTCTTTTAATACATACACTTAATCGAACTTATATTTCGTACTCACGCCAAATCAATCCAATTGCTGACAGCGCGCGAACTTTCATTTTGCAGTGCCTCATCACAGCACGAAATGCCAGCGACCATGAAAAAATGAACCAGATCTGTAATGTAGCTCGAATGTGTGAATATATTCGTCTATACAAGATAATTTACTATATGCAAGTATATACTATGTATCAGGTTTTTTTATGTGGACCCATGGGGATGGGTCAACATTTTTAGATTTCATAAAAATCCAAGAGGTTATTAGCGATCCTCTCAAGAGAAACAGCGCAGCCATGGGTCCTGATACTTCCTGCGGTTTAGATAAAGCACAGCAGATTGATTGCACCATTCGCCTCCCTTCCAGGATAGGATCACTTGCGGCACAGCTCCTGGAAACTGCATTATCAAAGGCATGTATGTGAATCGCGAGGGTATTTTCCACTTCGGTTTGCGCCTTGGTCGTGTATTTCATCATGTAATATGCCTTCTCGATCCCTGTTTACAGAACATTAAATAATAGGGGAAAGAAAAGATTAGCACTCGTGCGAATACCAAGAGGCAATGTGAAAGCCATACCTTCACCGGCACTTAAAAATTTTATGTCATGATTCATCTTCAGGACCGAATTGACCACAGGTACGTAGGTGTTTAAATACTCACTTCCAATGGACCGCCGTATGTGCAGTTCTCCACGAGGAGAGCAAACCGTTTGCGCAGTGACTTCTTTAGGAAAGAACATTCTGCATATTTTACCATCAGGTGTAAGCTTACTTGGTTTAAAACACGACTTCGCGTGATTCCAGCTGTGTGTCTGATAATTTATCAAAACCTTTGATTCCAAGAGAGCTGCTTCGTTTTCATGAGTAGTAAATAAGTCAAGTGACGGCGGCATTGCTATCAGATGGCGGATAGAATCGTCGCTGAGCTGGCTAACAGGTATATCGACTGCTCTCGCCTCCCGTTGAATGACAGATTCTACAAGGTCGGCAGCACCATAACTAGCCCCACATGCGGTACACCGCGATGTTGGACATTTGCCATGCCCACGCAGAGGTTTTTCAAAAGCTTGTCGCTGTAGCGGGACGGCCCTTACTTTATTTTCCCCACACCCAGGACACCGGCTAAGATCAATAGGACGAATCCATGGAGAACAAGTAGTTGAAAGGCGCGAAAAGAATTGTGAGCAAGATGCCACTTCGGTACTTGCCACTGTGAGTCGTAAGGCTTTTTT